ATTTATGAAAAGAATCTTTTAATGGCAAATATGATGGCTAATTCTGCCTGTCAAAACACTTGAGAAGAAGGCACCTCAATGGAGACATTGCCTCCAAGTCTGTGTGGAGCATTTCTTAGACTGCTAATGTGTGGAATTGCTCAGCCCACTATGAGTGGTACTCTCTATGGACAGGTGATCCTGGGCACTAGAAGAAGGACAGACAAATGTGAACCTGTGGCATTCCCTTGCGGTCTCCGCTTAGGTCCCTGACTCCAGGTTCCTACGTGGAGTATCAGAGCTTTGCTTTCCCTCAATGATGGGCTATATTCCTTTCCCACATTTCTTTTGGTTATGTTATTTATCACAGTGACAGAAACCAAACCAGGACAACTGACTACTAACTCAGAGTACAGCCAGGGGTTGGTGGCATACGCCTTTAATCCTAGCACTTGGGAGGCAGAGGCCAGCCTCTGTGAGGTCAAGGCCAGCCTGGTCTAGGGAGCAAGTTCCAGGACAGCTCCAAAGCTACACAGAGAAACCTTGTCTTATAAAAAACAAACAAACAAAAAAAAAAAAAAAACAGAGTACATAAAAATGTAGTCTAATTTGCCTAGCATGTTTTACCTTTCTTTTTCTCCGCTCTCAAACTCTATTGCTATGAGGTTTGACTTCTGCCCCCATTAGCATCCACTTTCCTAAAGTAGGTTCTTGAATAATTAAGACTAATGGGTTGCATAAGTTTTGTTCTACTCCAACCACCCACCTTCTAGGACAAGAGACGTGGCTAACACTCCTCAGGAGGTACAATCTGACCTTGCAGACCTCACCTCAGCCCTGCACTAATGGGAGGAGACTGCATATGTTTTTGCACACATGCACCCTTGGATAGCCAATATTCTGAACACCTACCGAATCAATGCTTTTTTAATCACATTGTACACTGCTCCTTAATATCTGTAACTATAAGATCAATGCTAATGAAGGACAGTATGTATTTTTAAAATTAGAAATTCATTCAAGGCCTAGTGACTCACAGAAAGTTTGAGACCCTTCATTTGATTCCTAGCACTGCTCCCAATCCTCCCCAGACCCTAACCCACATATAAAAACCCCAAAATCAAGAAGGTGTGGACTAGAGGGATGGCTCAGCAGTAAAAAGCACCTGCTGGCCAGGTATAGTGGCACATACCTTTATCTCAGAAGGTGGGAGACAGAGCCAGGCAGATTTCTGCGAGTTTGCAGTCAGCCTAATCTACATAAAGAGTCCCAGGCCAAGAAGGGCTACACAGAAAGACCCAGTCTGAAACAAACAAACAATACTTGCTGTTCTTGGACAGAATCAGGATTTATTCTCAGTTCCCACATGGCAGTACACAAGCATATGTAAGGCCACTTCCAGGAGGTCCAGTGTCCTCGCTGGTTTCGTGGGCAGCAGGCAAAGTAGTCATCCACATCAAATAAATCTTTCTTCTAAAGTATAACTACTTTGGCACTTGCCTTTTCTTCCCTTTCTTCCTCTTACTACTGTCCTAGCACAGGGGCTCTACTCTCTGCTCGGGCCTTGCTTTACTGAGCCCAAATCAGTCAGAACTGTGTAGTGTGGGACCTTCCCTACACTACATCCCTAGTGTAGTGTGAATGACAAGAGTCCAGACTAGAGAACTTGTTTATACATCATAACTCTAGAAAAGGACTAGTATCCAGAATACACACACACACACACACACACACACACACACACCCTCTGATGACTATATGGCTCATCAGTTAAAGTGAACTTGGGCAGAAGACCCAAGTTCAGTTCCCGGCACCTACAGAGTGACTCATGACCATCCATAACTACATTTTCAAGTGATCTAACAACCTCTTCAGGTACCAGGCATATATGTGGTATACAAAAACACATATGCAACAAAAATATTTTTAAAAACCTCTGCAAACTCAAACAACTCAGAAATGAGAACAGATGTGAACAGACATTTCACCAGCAGATAGAAGATTAGCCAGCAAGTATACGAAAATGCCCTGTCATAGCCATGTTAAAACTACAATGAGGTAGGACCTCACACCCACAGAAGAGCTATAATTAAATGCATCAATCAAGGCAGGCATAGTGGCACAAACTTGTCAGGTAGGAGGATCAGGAAACGGAGGCCAGCCAGGCTATATAACCAGATCCTATCCCAAAACAAACAAACAAAATACAAAGAATCTCGTGCCATCAGAACTCAGGAAGCTGAGGCAGAACGATCTTCAACTGTAAGCCACCCTGGAATATGGAGCGAGTCACTGTCTTGAAATATAAAGCCAAGGAGGCGTTGGCAAGATGTGGAGCTGCTGGTCCTTGTATACACTGCAGGTGGGGATGGTAGCCCTTATATGTTCTGATTCGGGTTTCTATAGTTGCCTAATGCCAAAGACAATTTACATTTCTGTCTTTCTTTTAAATGTTTTAAGTTACATTTACTCTCTCTCTCTGTGTGTGTGTGTGTGTGTGTGTGTGTGTGTGTGTGTGTGAGAGAGAGAGAGAGAGAGAGAGAGAGAGAGAACATGAAGGTCAGAGGGCAGCCAGCAGGAGTTCATTCTCTCCTACCCTGTGGGTCTCATGGACTGACTTCAGGTCATGGAGCCTGGCACCTGGATGACAAGCACTTCCCACTGAGCCATTTCACCAGCTCATCTCTCTTATCCTTATTATCCTGAGCTTGTTTCCACGAGGAAGGAGTCAGTAGCATCGTCGTGCCATCCTCCTAAAACGTGAAGCTATTTGACCTTGTTGATATTGATAGCAAAATCAGTATAAGAAATAGCTCTGCTGCTGCCAATCTCCTGCTCTGTGAAGCTGGGTTTGATCACTAGACTCAGAAGCACACTTTATAGCTCAGATTCCCAGGTAGCTATTTCAAAACTTTAAAAACATAGATCTGGGATGGAGTATGAGCGTTTGAAGAAGGGATTAATAAAACGGCCCAGCCGAGCTCCTGGAGTACGGTGGCAAAGAGGGAGGAGCAATAATGTGAACAAAGGGGAAACCCACACAATCAGCTGACCCGAGCTAATGGCAGCTCACTGGCTCTGGACTGACAACTAGGGAACCTGTATAGGACCGAACTAGGCACCCTGAATGCAGGTGACAACAATGTGGCTTGGGCAAGATCTAACCCTATTGCATGAACTTTTTTTTCTCTAGGAAGAGATACCTTGCTCAGCCTAGGCAGGTTGCTGGGCAGGCGGAGTGGGCGGGGTTGGCTGGGCTGGGTTTGGTTTTGCCTCAACGAGCTGAAGAGACAGTGAATGGGGGGTGGGGTGGGATGGGGAGAGCAGGAGGATAGGAGGGATAGGAGGAGTGAATGGGGGGTGGGGTGGGATGGGGAGAGCAGGAGGATAGGAGGGCGGGGGAACTGGGATTGGCATGTAAAAAAATAAATACTCTTAAAAAATAGCACAAGAAAGAGCAGACAAATATAAGCAAAGCACAAGTGTGTGGTGCATGCATGTGTGTGTCTATAAAGATATCTTAATGAAATCCAATATTTTGTATAACTAGAAAAAACTTAAAAAGAAATAGCCACAATCTTCAAGAAGCGAGCATAGGGAATAAAGCCACAAACTATCACAACTGTGAACCAGCTGAGCGTCGAAGGAGGCCACACTACGGCAGGACGTGGAGTCGGGAAGGCTTCACGCAGAAAAAGTACCTGATGCCCTTCAGCCACTGACGCTCGGAGAGGCTGACCATGGGAGCACAGACACACACGCGGCTGCCTTAGACTTTACGGCTCCCTCACCACCGGTGGCCTAGGTTCCCAGCATGGAGAAGGCTCTCTATGAGATATCTTCACATCGAACTCAAGAAAGGTCATCCGAAGTAAGTGCAATTGTCTTGCATTTCCTCCCCAAAACTCCCTCAACCAGGGAAGGCTAACTCATAGAAAAGAGGAAAAGGTCTCAGTCTACTGAGCCAAATAGAACCCTCTCTTTTTTTTCCAAGGACTGCCACCCAAGAGACAACCAGAGTGCAGGGTGCATCCTCCCCCACCTACACTTCCCTATGAATTGTGTGGCCCTTCTCTGTGTGGCTCCCACACACACGGTAACAAACAGGCCTGCTTTTTCTCTAGTTGGTGTGCCTGTTCGGCTTCTTTCAGCTGACTCAGGCAGGGAGCTGGAGAGGAAGCGAGGCCTTCAGTGTACCTACTGCACATCCCATGCCTCAATGCCAGGAACCTGAATTTCTCTCTTGTCAGTGTCACCTTCTGAGTCAACAAAGCCTGTTGATTTATCCTTCAGAGTATTTCCTTAATGTGTGCTAGACTTCTGTCGCTTGACAAAATATCCAAGACAGACAACTTAGAAGAGGTCTAACTGGGCTCACGACTCCAGGGATTTCAGTCAGTGGTCTCGGCATTGCTTAGGCCAAAGGCAGCACAGTGCGTCAAGGCAGGCGTGTGTGGTAGAGGAACTGCTTGACTCAACAACCGTGGGAGCAAAGAGAAAGACAAGGCATTTCCCAATACACCCACCAATGCTGCTTTTCCTCCTACTCCTCCACACCCCTTCCTTGACTCCAGCCAAACCGGAACCACCTTGTATTTCCACGTGATTCTGCCCTCCTCTGTCTCTTTCTACCCACCTTTCCTAGCTTCAGAATTCCCTTCTAGTCTAGGCCATCTTTCCTTCCAAGGATTTCTGACTGCCATGGTCTGGGTCATTCTTTAAGATGACAGTCACAGGTTGTCCCTTTACGATGACAGTCACAGGTTGTCCCTTTACAAAGGCTGCACTGATGCTCTTCTGTTACCTTCAAAGGACAAGGTTACTCTCTTGTTTATATGTTATGTATAAGGCGCTCAAGGGGTTGTTACTATCTGTTGACCCTCCCAAAATTCTCTGTAGTCTACCTGTTTACTTTTGTATCCTTCTATACGTAAGCATAGTGCCTAATTCACTGTTCAAGGAAAATTCACGAACAGGTAAATGTGTGCAGGTGGCTGCCACTTTCTTAGAACCTAAGACCAGTGCTTGCTTCGGCAGCACATATACTAAAATTGGAATGATACAAAGAAGATTAGCATGGCCTCTGTAGAAGGATGACATGCAAATTCGTGAAGCAGTCTAGGAGAGAGAGAGAGAGAGAGGGAGAGAGAGAGAGAGAGAGAGAGAGAGAGAGAACTTAAGACTACAGCACACTGTTTGATATGTTATATATCATAAAACACAAACTCAAATTCCGTGGCACATACAATAAAGGATAGTGGGTTGAACTAAATAAGGAAACCTAATCTAGGAGTATACATAGTTCTCTATTTTTGTCTTTTTCTATGATTTATTGTATTTTTAGATCTATTGGGGGTGTGAGTGCTTTCCCTGTGTGCGACTGTACGTGTACCTGTGCCTTTAGAGGCCAGAGATGAAGCTGGAGTTACAGATGGTTTTGAGCCACTATGGAAGAGCTAGGAACCAAACCTAGGTCCTCTGAAATAAAAATGTGCTTTAACCATGGAATTATCCCTGCACTCCTTACTTTAACTTTTTGAGCCATGGTCGCACTATACAGCCTTGGCTGGCCTGGAACTCACTACATGGGTCAGAATGACCTCTAACACAGACCACTGCCTGATTCTGCCTTTCAAGTGCTGGGATTAAAGGCATTTGCCACTGTTCGTTCCACGTAAGATTATTTTAATGGTGTGTGTGTGTGTGTGTGCATGTGAACGCAGATGCTAACAGAGGCCAAAGCTTCAGCTGTGAGCAGCCTGATATGTGTTCTGGGTACCTACTAGGAACCAAACTTCCATCTTCTACAGGAGCAAGCACTACCAGCTCCAAACTGCTGAGCCATCCCTCCAAGCCTCTGTTTTTCCTTTTAAGCTAGGAAAATTACAGACTTAAATGAAGGCATGTGAGTAGACTAGAAATCAATGGGTTGTAGTCATCTGAAAAGTCAAAGACAACAAATATTAAAAGTTCTATATTCTCTCCATCATGTAAGAACAGTCACTGATTTGGACCCGGCCAAACACTGATGGGAACACACCTTGTAAGACCCCTCAAGAGGCTGTGTTTGGAGCTCAGGCTTCTGAGCTAATGAAGCCATATCACATTTTAAAGAGACCGCCTGTTAAATATCAACATCTCCCCAAAGCAAAGCGTACTGCGATGGAAGTCAAGACGCTCGCCACAGACAAATGAAAACAATTGTCAAGGGTCATGAAATAACTCACACACATTAAACACGGAGCCTTGGTCTGAAATCCAGCAATACGCTCTGATCTTTTGAGAACAGCCCAGCTTTGTCAGTTCTTCTTAACCGTGTTCTCTTTATTTCGCAGTTGCTGAGTACCCGTGACGGCAAATGAAGTTCTACCAGTGCAGTTAATGCTATCTGAGAGACCTTCTCTATCATAACAAGAGTTCTACTCGCAAGAGAAGAATGTCAACAGCAAGACCTGCCCAAGGTACAGCCCTTTATCATTTTTATGTCACAGACGAGGTGATATCATGATGTTACCTAAAGGACATTGTCCTTTCCAGGCTCCGCCCTTCTCTTTGCAGGGGAATAATCACGAGCTATTTTCAAAAGATTTGAAAAAGAACAGAGAAACAAATATTCAGAGAAGCTACAGACAGATTGTTCTAACCACAAAGAAACAAAATGAATACACTTCCTTTAAAATTTTATTTTTTGTTTCTTTCTTGAAACTAAGTCTCACTAAATTGCCTTGGTTGGCTTGGAATTTACTATATTTAACAAAATGGCCTCAAATTTGCAGGAATCCTACTGTCTTTCCTTCCAAATGCCAAATGGGCATGAGCCACTATGCCCAACACATTTCTTTAAAACAAACGTTTATTAAGACCTGAAAAGAACAATAAACTAAAATCTGAAGAACTTCCAGGGAGCTAAAGAGATGCCTCAGATCGCAAAGGGCTTGCCACACAAGTACAAGGACCTGAATTCAAATCCCCACCTTAGGTGGTGAGGGCTATTGTACACTGTGTGAAGATGTGTCCTTGTGATTGGTTTAATAACAGGCGAAACAGCCAATAGCTAGGCAGGAGAGGTTAGGCAGGACTTCCAGGCAGAAAGAGGAACTCAGTGTTAGAATCTAGGCATGCAAAGACATCAGTCAGAAGCAGAGGGAGTCAGACATACAGAATGAAGGAGAGGTAGAGAGCCACATGACAGAGCGTAGATTAATAGAAACAGGTTAATTTAAGTCTTAAGAGCTAATTGGGAACAAGCCTAAGCTAAAGGCTAAGCTTTCATAATTAAGAATCAGTCTCTATGTCATTATTTTGGGGCTGGCAATTCCAAAAGAAAGTCTGACCAGAAAGACCCACTATACTTAGGAGTCTCCACTGATAACAAAATGCAGGAGTCAAGCAGGCAGTGACAGAACGTGATGCTGGACAGAATCATGGACCACGTGAGAGCCTTCCTTTACACTGTGCCCCGGTATGATCTCCAGTGTCATGTGGAGATCACTGTGGTTACCACTTCAATAGAGAGAGAAACCGGACAAGGTTCAAGTAAAACAGAACAGGCCAAAACAACAGTATGAAGCAGGAAAAGAAAGCGAGGAGAGCCTGATTTTAATTACGGCTCTCACACAATACTATCCGAATGTTCTTTCTCAAGCTCTCCACAGGCATTGGCTCTTCACACTCATTTAAATTCTAGTCATATACCACTTTCTCAGAGGCTTTCGTCCAAGTAGCCACTGCGGTCTCCAGCACATCACTGCTATGTGCCCCGTGCAGCCTGGAAACACTCTGAGCTTCTTCCTGTTGATGAGTTTGGGTCCCTCTTCCTCCTCCACTGGGATGGGCATACCACAAAAGCCAGGGCCACGGCTACCGCTGATGTCTAACAAACACTGAGGCTACCTGCGACATGAGGGCTATCCTTGACCTTCTCCAGGATCTGTACCAAGGAGCAGCAGCACAGAAAATGAGCTTGCAAAGGAGCAAGGTGGGAGCAGGGCACAGCGGCAGCTCCGTGACTGCCCAACAAACCCTTCAGAGCACCAAGTCACTCTGCTGCCAGGGGCTGTACAGACCCCCAAGCAACTGCTTCCAACACCCTGATCTGAGACTTACTCCTATCGGGCCAGGGGTGGGGTTTGTGTGCATCTGGGGTGCATGTTTGCTTTTGAGACAGGGAAAAAAAAGTATAAATCTCGGGGGTGTCTGATTGCTTTTGAGACAGTGTCTTACTCTATAATCTACGCTAATCTGGAACCTAATATTTCACCACAGTTAGCCCTGAACTCGTGCCAACGCGCTCTCGCCTCTGCCTCCCAACTGCTAGAATTACAAATGTGTGCATCCGGTTCAGAAATCGAGTCTCATCAGCAAACAACAAAGTCACTGAGCTCGAACCCCATCCTGGGTCCCAGTCTAACCTTTTCCACGTATCAAATCATTTATAAGTAATACTTTGTTTTCATTTACAAAGTGGCATTCTTTAAACCAGAAAGATTAAGTAATTAGCTTCAAGTGACCCAAATCATAGCTGGCAACCAATTTTTTTTTATATTTACTTATTCCGTCATTTTATGTGTTGATGTTTTTTTGATTGCATCTATGCATGTGCACCGCATGACAAGATCAGAAGAAGGTGTCAGAGCCCTTGGAACTGGAGTTACTGACAGTTGGGAGTCACTACGAGGGTGCTGGGAATTGAACCCAGGATCTCCATAAGAGCAACAGGGTTCTAACCTGCTGAGTCAACTTCCAGCCCCGGTACTCAATTTTAGATAACCACAATGTACCATTCATTAAAGGTTGAAGCAGATTTAAACAGAGCAACACATGCTAAGCAGGAGGCATAATGAATTAGTAAACTATGACAAGGACTCAGGTGACTAGGGTGTCGTCCTTGGCTTGCTATGTTGTGAGGATCCTTCAAAAATCCATCCTGTAACACTCCAATATAGCATGGGGACATTGCTGTTATGTAAATTTTCCCTTTCATAATATCTTTATTCAAAGAAATGTGATTTCAAATGAAGCATATAGATGTTTATAATAAACTAAAACAGTACAATGAATTTCCCTATTATATCTCCTTAAACCTTTATGAACATATGGACAATCTTCATGTCTCCCGAACACATACACAGACACACACACACAAGTATGAATACATATAATACAAACACACACTGGATTATTTTAAGAAAATGATTACTCTATTAGTAACAGTGAGCGAGGTGATACACGTATTCTCCACTTGACAGGATCTATAGTAACACAGGAGACAAGCTTCAGGGCACCGTTCTGAAGGATTAGCCCTGTGCCGGCTAGCTTTAGATCAGCTTGACACAAGCTAGAGTCATCTGGAAGGAGGAAACCTCAAATGGGAAAATGCCTCCATAAGATTTACAGTAGGCGAGCCTGTAGGGCATTTAGTGATTGATGGGGGAGGGCCTAGGCCATTGTGGGTGGTGCCATCCCTGCGCCAGTAGCCCTAGGTTCTATGAGAAAGAAGCTGAGCAAGCCAAGAGGGACAAGTCAGTAAGCGGTACTGCTTTATGACCTCTGAATCAGCTCCTGCCTCCAAGTTTGAGTTCCTGCCTTGGCTCTCCTCATTAGACTATGATTCACGATATGTAAACCAAACAAAGCCTTTCTTCCCAAGCTGCTTTTGGTCATAGCACTTTATTGCAGCAGTAGTAACCGTAAGATGAGCCCCACTGGTTTAACTGACATAGGGAGACCCACCGTAACCATGGGTAGCAGCATCGTGCCATGGGCTGCAGTCCTGGACTGAATACAGGGGAAAGCAAGCTGGGAACCAGCATCACGGACCCTGGGCCTCAAGCTCATGCTGCCATGACTTCCAGGACATGAGGGGCTGCCCTTGAACTGTGAGCCGAATTAACCCTTCTTCCATGAAGTTTGTCTCATGTCAGGCATGTCGCCACAGCCGCGTGGGAAGTAACTTACAAACAGCAACCTCTGTTCTGTCCTTAAGAAGGCATGATCGGAACAGTGAGGTGACGTGGGGGCTAAAGACACTTGCTGCTGCAAGCCTGGGTTTGAACCCACAAGGCACGTGGTAGGAGAAGACTGACTCTCACAAGTTGTACCCTGACTTCCACACACGGACCAAAGCAC